CAGGAGTGACTCCAGTTGCTGCATTCCAGCACAGAGGGATTTCTGTATTTTTATCCTCAGTGTGAATTATGCAAGTCCCTGCCTGGAGTTTAAGTGCCTTTCAGGATACGCACCGGGCGTTTTGTCGGATGCTGCTGTCGAAGGCAGGAAAAAACCACTCTCATGTTCTGCATTTAGACCTTCTGTATCTCAGATTTTACCGCTCTGCATTATTAAAATGGAACAGGCCATCTGTGGAGCAGCTTCTGGTAAAAAGAGTGGGAAGCAGGAACTTAAAAACCTGATGGGAAGAAGCCATCAGCGCAGGCAGAGGGACTGAGTTAAAGAGCCAATCGCGATGGAAAGCTGAAATAACAGACAGGAGAGGGGGGATGGCTTCAAACTGCCAGAGAGCAGCCTTAGGTGGGATATTGGGAAGAGATTCCTCCCTGTGAGGCTGGGCAGGCCCTGGCACAGGGTGCCCAGAGAAGCTGTGGCTGCCCCAGCCCTGGGAGTGTCCAAGGCCAGGTTGGACAGGGCTTGGAGCACCCTGGGCTGGTGGAAGGTGTCCCTGCCCGTGGAGGCAAGAGAGGTCAGGGATGGGGATGAGCTCCCTGTGTGTGTCCAGGTGAATCCCACCCTCAGCTGAGGATACTGGCAATGAAAATAGCAAATAGGAGGGCTTTCATTTTCGATTCAGGGTTTTCTGCTGTTGATATTGATGTTTGTGGGAGGTCTCTGAGAGCAAGAAGTGCCTGAGGGCTATGAAATGTAGCATAATGAATAATAATATAGTTGTATATTAACCTTTTTCTGAGAGCACTGCCTCAGACACCACCTGGGTCATGATCCCATTGCTGTGGCAGCTGTATAATTTTATCAAAGTGATAACGATGATACTTAGCCAATATATATCCCTTTCCCCAATAGAAGCTTTAGAGCTTCAAATCCCAGATTGGCTAAAGTGTGGCAAGTGGAATTTCCTCTGTATGTGATTTATGTCATGGATATAAAAAGCCAAATGTGACATCAGCTCAAATGCCCTTTTTCACAGTTATAACCAGCAATTGTTAAACAAAGAAAACAACTGCAAAGCACTTCTATGGCATGATGGAAGTTAATAAAATCATTTGTATTGTGGCCTTTCTGCTGAGTAAGAAGGTCAAGAAAATATCTGTATATTGTCTTAATGGCTCCATAACACCCTGTAGTGTGTGGCTTGGGCAACATCATAAAATCTGCAAACAGACTTGCTATCTTAAAATTGATCCTATCATTCCAACATAATGCTTTTATCCCAGATTTAATGCCAGTAAATGAAACTGTTTTGGGGTAAGTGCTGGGAAAATTGGAAAAGCGTTTGAGGAGTTTGACGCCAGCTCCTTTTGGTATCAATGATTGTAGAAGGGGATGGTTTACTATCTGGGTAACTAAAATTGGTATAACTGATGGTCTTTAGTGTGGACATCCTTGGACAAAACAGAAGATCAAAAATATCATAAACTGATCAAATCCCTGCTCATGTGAAATGGGGTCAATATGTTGTATTTGCTCTCACTTGGGCTGAGAATGAAAACATTTGAGGCCCATGAGAAATGCAGCGGGTCAATAATTTTGTGGTTTAATGAGGCTTAATGATTTTCCTTATTAAATAACCCCTGAGCCCTTGAAGTCCCTTCTGACACACGAAATAGATGGTTTGCAACGTGTGACAAACTCGAGGGGACACAAGTCCTTCTTGAGTACCTGCTCCATTCATGCCAAGGGCACGTTGGCCTCGTGGGTCTCCATCAGCCCCTGCCTGCTGTTCCTCCTGGAGATTCTGGGAATGTCACTTGGCTGCTGCTGCTTCCACTGGTGCTGGTTCAGCATTGGAGCCCCTGTTTTGATCTTTATTTTCCCAGGCCACTCTTCTCCTCTGGGGGCCCCTTGCTCTGCTGTGCAGCCACCTCTCTCCTGCAGCTTGTCCTTTCCCTAGGGATGTGTTCCTGAGCTTTCCCCAGCACAAATCCCTCCTGCCAGTCTCCCTCTCCCCATCCTTGGTGCTGCAGCCTCCATCAGCCTCCACAGCACCTTCAGTTCCTGGGAGCTGAGCCTGGCGCTCTCAGCCAGCACGTGGAAGGAGAGAGGCATCACATGGAAGGAGAGAGGCAAGATTAATGTGAGAAATAAATCACTTGGATCTTTCTGTTTTGTTGGAGGGGGGGGGTAAATAGCAACCACACGTCAGCAGGTCTTACTTTCTGGTTGATAATGGAGATGCTCCTCTAAGCATTCCCAGCCCTGCAGTGCTGTAACATCCTTCCTCCTCTGTGATTCCTGGTCTGGGAGGACCTGAGAGGCGTCTCAGGGTGTGGAGGGCTGGGAATGTTCCCTGGGCAGGGCTGGGTGCTGGCACTGTGTGTCCAGACTGTAAATGTGGGATAAACACCTGGATCAAATGTGACCTGACTCCAGGCAGCTGGGGATGAAGCATTCCCATCTCCCCCCCAGGAATTTCTATTTTCAATCCCTTAAGCACTGCTGATCCCTCCTGTCCTGATCAAAGGGGATGGCACCCCCTGAGAGCAGAGGGAAAACAACCACAAGCACTTGTCCCTTGTCTAGGACAGACCCTCCATGGGGCTTGGGATCGGGTCCCTTTCCCCTTCTCCCCCCTCCATGCTCCTCCTTTTTTTCCTTTCAGTCTTTCATCACTATGTAGCTCATGTACATATTTATCCTGTGGTGGGAGATAAATGAACCCATTAGGCAGTATCATCTCTCTATGTGTAAAAATAATGATTTAATCAAATCATGGTGATTTGAAGTAATAAGAGATTCATTTTAATTTGGAAAATCTCATAAAAGAACTATCTATATCTCTTAGATGTATTTGCTGAAAAAGTAATTTGCTAAAGTATGAAATATGGAGAACATTGGGGAATCAGTAAATCTTGTCACACCAGAGAAGTACTTGGCCGTGTACAGGGGTAAGAAGAGATTATTCCTACTTTTGCATTAAAGCATCCAGCTTTCTTGGCTGGGTCATCTAATTCCTTGCAAGACTCTGAACCCAGAACTCTGATATTTAGCACTCTGTGTGTAAGTTGTCTTAACGTCGTCAGTTCAGAAAGATTAAGATTAAGCACAGGCTTAAGTCTGTTGTTGCTGCAGAGAACATGCTTGCCTGTATTTCAACCTGAGTGTTTATGAATCACTTTCATTCCTAAAGGTATCTAAAATTAGAGATGCACTGGAGGTGTCCCTCTGCCTCAAGCCCACTGGCACAGATGGTGCTGGCAGGACAGGGCTGTGGGAAGTGTAGGAATGGTCCTGGCTGGGGAGGGATTTCAGAGCTGTGGCTGCCCCAGCCCTGGGAGTGTCCAAGGCCAGCTTGGACGGGGCTTGGAGCAACCTGTGCTGGTGGGAGGTGTCCCTTCCCAGGGCAGGGGTGGCACTGGATGGGCTTTAAGTCCCTCCCAACCCAAACCAGTCTGTGATTCTTGGTCCTGAGTATGTTGGGAAGGAGGGCAGTTCACCAAGGGGTTGTCTTTGGAGGCCTTCCCCGGGACCTTGGCTCTGTGGGAGCAGCAGTGCTGGGATCTGCAGCACAGCCAGGATGGGAAGGAGTTAACAGAAACTTGTCCAGCTCTGAACTGTCCCACTGCCACTCACTCACCTCCTTGTCCTGATCAATAGGAAATCATGGTAAAAACTGTTCCCTCTTTAATAGGGATCCATATTCCTCCTTGTGAATGCAGAGGGATCATTAAAGCAATCAATAAGAATGTTGTTATTTGTTATTAAATCTGTAAAGGTTTAGAGTAATTCATATGGAATTTTATTACAGTCTTATCAAGACTCATTGATTTTACCTTATTCAGTTAGAGAGCCCTGTTCCCAGAGGTCAGTGGCTTTGGCACATGGGGAAGGTTCCTTGTTTCTCTTTCTGAGCCATTTGTATGTTGTAGATCTTATGACTGAATATCCCCTTTGAAATGCTTGTTTAATTAGGAGTAAAACTACTACATGGCAGGTTTGCAGGAAAAAAAACTTCAGGTTGTGTGCTCTTAAAACCTGATGATTTTCCAAATATTTTGCTGACCCACCTGACCATGAATATTTTCCTTAGGAAATTTTATCCAAAAACTGGTAATTGTGGAATGACAGACTGGTTTGGGTTGGAAGAGCCCTACTTTTAATTTAATAAACTGCATCATTTTCTGTGGAGACTGCAGGTAGAATGTAACTTGCTTCCAGCCTGTTACTGGAAGGCCCCAGTGCTGATTTCCCTGGATTGATTTTGGGAGGTGAGGTGGGTTGTGTCTTCTGAGCTTGGGATGTGACTCGTGAACAGCAGACTCAGCATTAGAAAAATACATGTTCTGGCTGGGTCAGTGGTACACAAAGCTGAGAGGAGGAGGTGGATTGACCCCATTCTGCATCCCCTTTCCACTTTTTAAACATCTGGATTTGTGCTGCCTGTTTTTCTGCCCAGGGGAGGAGTGCTGTGCCAATTTACTGATGCCATATGGCTCTCCTCCGGCTCAGTTCCATCGTGAGCTGTGCCAGCTTGTGTCACTCTGCCCACCTATGGCACTGAGGGAAATCATTGACTACAGTGGCAGGAACTTTTTCCCTCTTTCAATGGAATATGTATGTACAGCCATTTCTAACTGCAATCCTCAGAGGACCCCTGTGATGATGCAATAGAGAGGCACAGCTGCACCATATTATTTATTTTCATTCCTTATTGGTGTATATCTATTCTATGCTTTTTTCCTTATAACTCTTATCTATATTAATCTGTTTCCCATTTATCTTACCCAGTTTTGTACCTGGCAGTCAGAAACAGAGTAACTCACCTGCAAGACGCAGCTGATAAGAAAATGTGCAATGGATTTTCTTTCTTTCCAGGGCCATCTCCCGTGGACAGAGCCGTGGCACGTGCTGGGTATCGAGGAAGATACAGCCAGAGGGTTTGTTTTTCAGGCTGCAGCACGAGCCAAAGCTGAGCTCTCCCCTCTCTCCTTCCCCAGGGTTCGATGCCTACTTTACCTCCCGCACCCTGGAGAACAACAGGAGGAACGTGTGGTTTGCAGAGTACTGGGAGGAGAACTTCAACTGCAAGCTGACCATCACTGGCTCCAAGAAGGAAGACACGGACCGCAAATGCACAGGTAGTTCATCCCTGCCCCTCCTCGTGCTGCAGGATGGGGCAGCAGTGGAATAACTGCCCAGCTGGAGGAGGGTTGGGGAGGGAGGGTAAAACAAATTGGTTTTTTGTAGGTTGTAGAGAAACTGGAACTGCAGCATCAGCCTTACAGAGCAACAGAGGCTTCAAGAGAAGGAGATGGAAAGAGTCAAAACTTACATTCTTCTATTTTTTCATGTTGCTGGCTGTCCATCCAGCAGGAAAAGGAATATTTTCCATGGGACCCAGAAATACTTTTGTTTGAGTTCAGGGTGGCTGGAGGGTGTTTTCTTAGTCTGTTTTAGATGGAGAATCTTTCACAAGAATTTAGGAGGAAAGTCTTGGCTGTGAGGGTGGGCAGGCCCTGGCACAGGTTGCCCAGAGAAGCTGTGACTGCCCCAGCCCTGGCAGTGTCCAAGGCCAGGTTGGACGGGGCTTGGAGCACCCTGTGCTGGTGGAAGGTGTCTCTGCCCATGGCAGGGGGATTGGAATGAGATGGTCTTTAAGGTCCCTTCCAACTCAAACCACTCCAGGATTCCTTGTTTCTATGACTAAAAGACTGTGGAGAAGCTTTGGGCAGCAGGCACCTCCTGTGACACACAGGGCAAAGCCAGTGGTGCCATCTGATGGGTGCCTTGCCCAGGCCTTTCCTTCCCTCTCCTTTAAATTCTTCACAGCAGCAGTTGAAATGTGTTATGTTGAATAATTGCTTTGAATTTTGATCAAAGGGAATCAGTTCATTGCAAGATTTGTTTTACTTTGAAAATTGATGGTAACTTCCCATACTTCATCTCACCTGCTTTTGGTTCCAGCTCACAGGGGCAGTGGAAGTGTTGAGCACAGAAACAGTGCAGCTCCCACTGCTCTCAACTTTGGCATTTGGAGTCTCCCTAAAAGGCTGGAATTTAACTAAACACTGCTCCAAGATCTTTAGGATAATTTCTTGAAGTGCCTGGTGCCCCTTACTGTTCATGCCATGATTTGTTGCAGTTGCTCACAGCCCACATTGTCTGATGTGGCTGTAAATGTTGTTCTTTCCCTCAGTGTAGATTGGACCAAACATCTGGTTTTGGTGACCGGCTTACCCTGTCGAGCTGAAAGGCTACACTGGAGCTCGATATTGTCCCAAATGACACACCCTGGCACCCCCCTCTTCCCTCCTCTCCAAACTGAAGCAAATTGGGCATCAGAAAAAGCATTAAGTGGGAGTTCTATTGGTGGTGTGAGAGTCAGAATGTCCCATTGATGGGATAATATTATGACTGATGGTCATCATTATTTTAGGGTGTGGTTGGTGATTTGTACTGTAGCGAGGTGCAGCTCCAGGCTGTCAGCTCTGACAGCAGCAGAGCTCCTGAGCACCGGGGAGGGGTCAGAGCTCACCTCCAAACCCAAATGTTCTCCAGTAGAAACTTGAAGGTTCATCTGCTTTTCCCCAGAAAATCCCAGGGGATTGGATTGATGGTGTTGAGATAAAGGCTTTTGTGTGTAATGAGATGATCTGGCTGAGGCTGGGCCGGGTTGGGCTCTGTAACTGCAGGGCTGGTATTGGATCCTGGAGTTCTTTGTCAGATGACAATACAGGGATTACATTGCAAAGAGGCCTCATTGTCCTACTCTGCTCCTTGAAATTACAATATTTACTCTGGCATATTGTTAGTTGTTCTCAAGCTCTGGTTCTCAGCTACTTTCACATAAAGAGCTTATTTGGAGAAGCCTTCACACTTTACCCCTCCTGTGTGTGCAGTGTCTGTACCATGAGTGAGCACCAAGCAGTAGGAGCTCTGATCGTGTTTGTAGAGCCCTGGATGCAGGAACTCGTGCTGGGGCTGTGGTGCCACCAGCACAGCCCCTGCAGCTGCACAGGCTCTGCCCTGGAGCAGGTTTGGGTGCTGTTATCAGAGGCAGATGGGGGCACTCAGTCAGAGACTGATGGCTGTAGCTGTGGCACTGTGGATGTGTCTGTGTACCGGGTTTGTGATGGTGCTGAAGGAGATGGAGATGGATGAAGAGCAGATATTTTTCTGTCAGCACTTCACCAGCTGCTGAATTCCAACTTAGAATCACTGCCTGTTTGATACCGTGAGCATTCCACAATCTTTAAATTAAATCTCCTGTTAATGATGACTATCGCCAGGTTCTCAGCAGCACTATTATGTGAGGCCCTTTGGAAATGTGTTTAATCCTTCAGAAACTGCGCCACTGTCTGAATTCCTCTCATGTGAGCACCGATGGAGCGAGATTTTGATGTCTGTCAGGTGAATTACACGCCATAAAAATTGTCCTAGCGATACTGTTTATTCATCATAACGCATCCCCGACGGTGTGTGATGATAACAATGAGTCCACAACAATCAGCCGAAGGAGAGGCCTCGAGAAGGTGTAACATGAAAAGCAGTGTGTTGGCTGCACTGGGAGGTGCTGAGTGTCGCCTCTGTGGAGATGCAGAAAGTGTGACCAGGAGTTCTTAAACCTGCATTTCACTGCTGTCATCGGAAGGAGATGGGGGAAGAGGAATTCCCTCTCTGTGTGTTCTCACCCCTCTGGATTTGGGCCTTTCCTCCCTCTCTTTGTTGCAGTGTTTTCCTCTCGTGAAGGTGCAGCAGGGCCTCGACTGCTCCATCTCTCAGGAATCAGGATGATGAGCACTTGAGACTCGAGTAGGAAGGGAGTTAAATTATTTGTCATCACCTTCAAATAGGTCCTTTGGAAGCAGAAAATGCTCGTGTCAATAAATTGCTGTTGTGTTTGATCCTTCCCCTGACATCCCAAGGTACTCCTGCCCAACCATGGCACAGAAGATCTCTTGAAATCACGTTGTGTGCAGGTGTCAGCTGCTTCACTGCTGAAGGAAATAATGGTGTTGTGTGGCTCCTGGAGATATCCATTTTGAAAAAAGCTGACAAAAAAACAACCAGAAGCATGTAAGAAGAGCAGAATATGGTGCAAATGGGGTTTATATTTACTCTCCATGCTTTTGGTGTCTTCTGGAAGCACGGAGGGTCACGTCATTTCTTGCTGCACCCAACACCTGAGTTCATAAATTGGTTCTCTTGCACCAAGTTTCACTCCCTGAGACCCCCACGGTGTCCTGACGTGTCTGTGCTGCACCCACAGCACCACCCCTGCTGCTTTTATCTCTAGGAAGTTAATGGCTTTGGAGAGTTTCCATCTCTTCCAGGAATAATTAATAATTGAATTTCTATACTGCCATTATACAGGGGCTATTCCTGAAGCCTGTGGTAAAACTTTCTGCTTAAGCTTCTTCAGCTCAGCCTAAGAGGGGGAAATGTTTCCCACAATGATGTCAAAGTTGGAATTAAAATTGTGCCCATCACTTTGTTTTGTCCCTGCCTGAAAATGGACTTTGGCCCTGTTTTGCTCACTAGTTACTACAGTGGTAGGTTGATATAAACCAGAGGGAACACTGCTCAGCCAGGCCCATAAATTTGGATATTTTGAGTTCTTTTCATATAGTCTGAAGACTATTTGACATATGTAAAACATGGCATTTGCTTTGCAGGTTCTTTGGTAGTTCAGATTTAGGTTAAACTTCTAATTGCAACAAAATCTCTTTAAAAGGTAACTCAGCCTGTGTTTGGGGGAATAACAACACATTCCCAATTGTATAAATTCATGCATGGTTTTGAGTGAGATTTACTGTGCACAATTTTTGGTGTTTAATACTCAACTAAATGACTGTTTCAGCACAGGAAACTGTTGTTGTTCCTGGAAATTCCATTAACGTTTTAAAATCTCTTTTATTTTCATCCTTGGACACTGTCACATTGCTCTTGGGTTTCTTTAAGTGGGTTTTGCTCAGGTTCCTCTCAGATATCTCACTGCTGAGGCTTTTCTTCCTGCTGTGTGTTTGGCCAGCTGTGCTTCTGGAACTTGCTCTGCCTTATCAGTGTTGTTTGTGTGCAGCATTTGAGTCCCAGCTCCACTTTCCCTGGCATCCACTCCTGGTGCATTGCTAATTTGGTTACAGAGCTGGGCTGAAACCACTTAAAAGCATTTTCCTTGTCAGGGCTTGAAAATTTGGTAAGTTCTGTAATCAGTGAGAGGGGAGTGAAATAATGAAAAGGACTTGTGGAATTTCACAGTCTGGAAACTTGCTTTTTCTTGAATTATTTGCAGGATTCCGGTGTTTCCAGAGTAGCTGAGATTTAAATCTGAGGGGTTTTGGTAAAGTGTCTTTCAACCACTATCATGGAATCCCAGACTGGTTTGGGTTGGAATGGACCTTAAAGCCCACCCAGTCCCACCCCTGCCATGGGCAGGACACCTTCCATCAGCCCAGGGTGCTCCAAGCCCCGTCCAACCTGGCCTTGGACACTCCCAGGGATGGGGCAGCCACAGCTTCTCTGGGCAACCTGTGCCAGGGCCTGCCCACCCTCCCAGGGAAGGATTTCTTTCTAATATTTAATTTAAACTGAATATCTGCCATTTCACCCCATTGCCCCTTGCCCTGTAACTCCAAGCCCTTGTCCAAAGTCCCTCTCCAGCTCTAGTGTATGTTGAGCAGATCAGACATCAGTGGTGCAGTTTGGTGAATACAGAGTCAACCCTTGAAGAAGGAAATGTAGATAATTAGAGATGTTCATACAGGGGGGTGTCTCTTTGCTTTTATTCAAATAAATCTCTTTTGTGGATATATTTGGACATTTGGGTCAGTGCTGGCCTTGGCAGTGCTGGGGGAACAGCTGGACTCAGTGATCTTACAGGGCTTTTCCAAGCTCAACAACTCCGTGATCCTTCTTGTTTGTAGAATTTCTGTTCTTATCTCTGTGTGCTTATTTGGAATTCTGGTCTGCTGCCTCTTCACTCAAAGAGATAAAAAAAAAAAAAAAGGATTTTTTAGGACTCTGCCTTTTTCTCGTGAGCTGAAAACAAAATTGGAAGCCTTTGCTCTCAGGCTGGGTGGAGAACAATCCAACCTGGTGGCTGAGCCAGGACAGCACCCCGAGGGAGGGCCTGGGCTGTCTCTGGTGGGGGTTTATTGCAGACCCTGCTCTGCTAAGGGGGAAGATGGTGGGGCTGGGGCTGGTAAAACTGCTGGTGGTTAGAGCAGGAGGGAGAGATCCAAACCTGTAAGATGAGCAGCAACAGGAAAATGGACTTCTTGCCTCTACTAAATCATTAGTTCTCACTGCCATTAACAGCTTGATTTCCTTTCCTTATTGGTATCAGCTAATTTAAATTCACTCAATCCCGTCTCTAATTAAGGGTATTAACAAAGAAATTTTTCCCACTCCAACACTTTGGAACATTTACTTTGATTGAACATCTGAAATATTTGCAAGGAATGACTCCAAGGTCTGGTTCCTTGGAGCTGCTGGCAGTGCCCAGCCCTGCAGGTACTACAGAAAGGTGAGCAAGACCCACGTGAGGTTAGAAAAGTGGGATAATGCAGGTAGAACGTGGGATGTGGTGTTGCCACCCTTGGAAAACAGTAGCTTGTACTTGTGGTGCCTCGTGGCTGCAGCTCAGGCCACTCCCCAGCAGCAGTGACATTCCCTGAATCCCTGGTGAGGTGGGTCAGTGTGATGACAGTTTGCAGCTGCACAGATTGAATCCAGCAGGTGTTACCTGGACAGGGAATACCAAGGAGTTAGTGGGCAATTTCAGGGAAAAGAAATGAATCACAGATTCCCGATTCTCAACCTGGGGTGTCTCACTTCGAGCTCTGGAAATACTGTTTGGTTTGCTGCCTAATTGCAGAGCACCCAGTTACCTGTTCAGGTCACCAGAAAGGCATGAAAGCCACCTCAGTGCCTTGGGTTAAGGCCACATCACCAGGCTACACCTCCATCCTGAGCCTGAGGGTGGGAGAATGGTTAAGGCACGAGCCTTCCCCTTCAGATGTTTGGATTCACCTATTTTGTCACTGCTCTGGAGTTCTTCGGCCTGTTCATGATCACAGTTCTGATTTTCCATGTGCAAAAGCCCTCCCTGCTCTCAGTTTTTCTTGCCTTGCCCTGTGGGCTGAGCAGCTCCCCAGGGTTTGTGGTTCCTGCACAGCGGGCACTGTGGTGGCAATGACTGCCACACTGTGCCTGGGGTGGCATTAATGCCTGGCTTCCCTGAGGGCTCTCCTGCTAAATATTTTAGAGGCAATCAGTGGATTCTGCAGGACATTTCAGCCTCTGCAGGCCGAGGATGCCAACACTTGGAGCTTCCTGAGATGCCAATAATACCCTCGTGTTCCTCAGTTCTCCAGAGCACCCCTTTGGTGGCATCTCTGAAGTGACTCTTTCTTCCCTCAATCTGGCTCCAACTTTCAATTAGAGTCTGGGATTTGCAACAGAACAAAACATCAGACTTTAAATACCAGCTGTGCTTATTTTAAATACTTTCCTGTTTCAAAGCCGAGCTTTGGGAGTTTTCAAGGCCTGGAGTTTTCTCTCTCTAAGGTGGTCCCTGTAGATTAGGGCTTCAAGTTGGTGATCACGGCAGGATTTGTTTCTCTGGATTACGCAGAACAACTTGCAGGAGGTGTCAATGATTCTGGTAGCAATAAGAGAGGTTTGTTTATGTTTTAATTAGTAAAACCCTAACTCAGAATGCTTCACTGTGTCGATTAAACGCGGGTGTTTAGATGTGCTCCGGGAGGGGTTTGAGTGGGGGCCAGCGCTGCTCCTCACTGTGGGTGCGTGTGTCCTGCAGGGCAGGAGCGCATCGGGAAGGACTCCCCGTACGAGCAGGAGGGCAAGGTGCAGTTCGTGATCGACGCCGTGTACGCCATGGCCCACGCGCTGCACCACATGAACCGCGACCTGTGCGCCGACAGCGCCGGGCTCTGCCCCGACATGGAGCACGCGGGGGGCAAGAGGCTGCTCAAGTACATCCGCAGCGTCAACTTCAACGGTGAGCACAGCCCCGGCACCCGCCACGGCCCCTGCTCCCTGCACCCTGCCATGGCAGCCAGGCCCCACAGCCCTGGCACCCGCCACGGCCCCTGCTCCCCTCACCCTGCCACGGCAGCCAGGCCCCACAGCCCCCGAGCCCACAGGGTCCCCTGTTTGAAAACAACGTGCTTTAGCCAAGGCAATCGGGCTGCTCCTGCCCAGAGACAGGAGTGGCTGCTGCTGGTTTAGCACCCCTTCCTGAAGCCTGATTTCCAGTGGGAGAAATAACGGGGTAAAAGCCTGAGCTTGCCTCTGACTCAGTGTGGTTCCTGAAGCCCTAGAAGGTTGTTACCATCACACATCAGGTTTTTGTCTTTAAATTGTTTCCTGTACATGGAGGAAATTAACTGGCTGAAATCCTGGTGCCCAGAGCCCACCTTAGGTGTGTGCTCAGGGGAAGGCAGAGCTAAAGGGAAGCCAGGTCCACTTGGGAAGCCAGAACTGTGTGATTTAGACAGAGCAGTTACTCCAGCCATCATTGCTGCAGTAAGATTTCAGAGGAGCTGAAACACCCTGAGAGCACTTTACCCCTTTTCCCTTATCATCTACCCCCTGTGCTGCCCAGGCCATGCTGGTGGCAGCACCAACCCCGTGTTTCAGGCAGCACAACGGGCTTTCATGTACTTCCCCTGCATTGCACTGTATAAATCACGCCTAAATATTAACACAATTTCCCTGCCTCTGTATGTTTTCCTGTAATTTTATTAGTTTCATTAACGAACACCCACTTGCCACCAGCTCAGTGGCCCCGGAGCGGGTCGTTTCCAGCAGGGAATGGTATTTCTCCTTCATAAACCTGCTAATGGACTTCCCAGGAGGTCTGGCTGCTCTCACCCTGGCTCTGCATGAGATAGAGAGCTGAGATTTAACCAGGAGCCAGAAGGTAGACCTCCAAATCCATATTTAAAACAGATTTAGGAAAGTACTGAGAAAAATATCCTTTTGAAGTGTGGGAGGCAGGGCTGCTGCTGCCTGGGGAGGAGGGTTTGCATAAGCTGCATGGCCTCCTTGGGCACCACAGCCCGAGCTCCCCTCCTGCCATCTCCTAATAAATATTTTTATTAATAAACTTAACAAAACCCACACAGAGCCAATAGGACCCGAGAGCTTTAAAAGGGGGAACACAGATGGTATTTTGTGGTCAAGCTTGGTCTGTTATGCCAAGGATATTTTGCCTTCGTGTATAAATCTTATAAAGAGCAAGGTGAATATGAGGAGATTTTAATTCCTTTCCTTGAAGGGATGTTAACTACAGCCAGGAGCAAGTCTGGAGATGAATGATCCGAGGAGGTCTGCAGAGTTCTCTTGCCTCATTTGGGAAGGTTAATTGTGAAGGACAGAGCTGCTGTGGCAGCACAGCTTCCATGTGCAGGACCACACCTGGGCCATTGTAGTGCTGGAAGGACGTGCTTGTCTCTGGGCAGTTCTTACATGTAAAGATGCTGAACGTTCATCTCATCATTTTAACAGAGCTGAGACATAATTTATGAGGAACTGAGTTTCCAGTTAATGTTGTCTGGTGTCCAGCTGCAAGAACTGGTTTTCCCTGTGGATAACACCTGGGAGCTCCTGGGACATGGGTTGTGGTGCCTCTGTGTTCCTCAGCCATCCTCTCATGGCTGGGAGTGCCGGCACAGAGGAGGGGCTGGGCTCGTGTCAGCTCTCGGGGTTTAGTCTTGATCTCAGCCTGCCCTTCTGAGTCACCAGCGCAGGGGTCCAACTCCTCAGGAAGGTTGGGGACTTGGAAATCAAATTTAGTCTGTGTGTGAAATCCTGTTCTCCCAGTTTTCCACCTGAATTTGTCGTAAGAACAGAAAGTGGAGCAGTGGGAGCGCTTTGTCCAGGCTGTGTGAGGAGAGAAAAAGCATAGCCTGTTTTCAAGCACCCTGAGCCTGAGATCCTCTTTGCATGTAATGAATCTCCTTGGCACTGTGCAGTTGAGAGCATCCTGCCTGTGCCTGCTTTGGAGTCTTTTCTTCCTTGCAAAGGTAATGCAGGAAGAGCTGAAGCCACGCTTTGATGAAGAGAGGCTGGATTTGTGTGAGGAGCTCAGTGTGCATTTTGCTATTGTCACACTACCTCGAGAACAAAGGGCCCCAAATATGGAAAACTTCAAACCTCAAGTGTTCAAGCAGCCAGAGTCTGAAAGTCTCAAAGTGCAATTGTGTTTTTGCCAGTGAAAAGCTGAAGATGCTGTTCATATAGGAGCCCTTTGGGTCTTCAACCTGCCATGAACGTGAACTGAGTAATAAACACCTTGGCTAGTGACACCTGCCTAGCACCTTGTCCTCCTCTTGGTAATCAGTGTCTCATCTTGCAGTGATTAAGAGATTGAAATCCCACAACTTCAGTCAGATTGTGTCTGGTCTTGAGTGCTTCCTGCAGGTGTACCCTGTGTCTGTGTGGGGACAAGGCAGCTCGTTTGCTGTGAATTGAAGAGAGTTGTCATGGCCTCTGCAGGAGCAGGAAGCTGCAACCTCAAGGCTGACACTCTGAAGTGCTTGCTGGGGCTAAGCAAAGTTCTGGGAAATCTTAATAGAAAGAAAATAAATTCTAGATGATCAAAAACCAGTGAAACAACCACATGTTTTTATGATTAGAAGATCGAGAAGTCAAAGAACAAGTAGGGTCACTTGCGAAAATCCTGGTTCATCTCCCTGTGATGAGGTTTTCCTACACCACATTCTATTGTTTTCATTGTTTCATCAAAGGAGCCCGAGTTGTGCGTGGAGGTTGAAACGCTGCAGGGATCAAACCAGGGCTGATGGGTCCCCCCAGGCAGGAGGCACAGAAGGAGAGCAGAGCCTGTACCTGGCCCACACCGGGGTTAAGGAGGGCTTGCACTTACTAAGCAGATCTGTGGCTGGGAGTCCAATTACTCCAACTTCAAAGTCAGGAGAGAGACTCTTGTGTCTGACTCCTGACCTGGGGTTACCAACCCTTCCCATTCATTTGGATTCTCGACTTCCCAACAGATCCCAGGCCTCTCCTGGCTTTTCTCTGTCTCATTTTAACCCTTCAGTGGTGCAGTACCTGCCAATAGCAGCAGGTGTTCACTGCTCCCTGCCCAGTCCCTGTGTCCATGCCCAGGTCTGTGCCCCTCAGGGGCTCTGGACCATCAGCCTGCAGCCCTGGCACATCCAAGTGCATCCATGACCTCAAGGATTGTTTTAAAGGGCTCAGCCAGAAGGGCTCTGGGAGACATTCCCAGGAAGGTGACCTAGGGGTCCTCTTGGCTGCTTCCCCTCTGGTTTTACCTCAGCTCTGTTGACTGTGGGTGGCCTGGACAATGATGTCCACTCACTGTGTGCCTCCTGACCAGCAGACACGGACCCTTCTTCGTGTCCTGGGACCTTGTCAGGATGTGGGGAATCCACAAATGTCTCTGTTGCATTTTGGGAGCCTCACTGGAGCTCCTGCCATTTCAATTGTACCTTTTCTGTGAGCTCTGACAAAACCAAGCTTAACTGATAATATCCAGCCTTAAGAGTCGTGATTAGCTCAATCCCATTTACCACTTGTGCTGACTTTCCCAGGGAGCCAAGGAATTACAGCCATTGCTTCTGATTCACTCTAAGTGTTTTCACTCTAAATGTATTCTGGCTACATGAATCTGTAATGACAATTAAATATCTGCCTGGTGCTCATAAGGAACAGTGAGCAGAGATTTCAGCGCAAGATTTTCTGTACCAGCCTTTGAACTGAATTTGTTCTGATCTCAGAGGATTGTCGGAGAGACAGGAAACCATTTACCAGGGCTAGAATGGAGACTGTGCTAATTCACTCCTCCAAACCTTTCTTTCACTCACTGGAATTCAATGAAGAATGGGAATCATGAAGAAAACAGTAATCTTAAAGTTCAGTGCTACAACAGGAGAGATTTTTCATTGCTTTAGGGAAAAGAAGTTACGCAGGAGGAGGAAGCTTTGAATATAGATATGCTGGAGGATTGTCATAATCTTCAATCTTGACACAATATTGCTCTTCCCTACTGAAACCTATTTTAATATGTCTTGAAATAAATGTCACCCTTGAAGGTTGCTCCTGGAGATCTGAGGAAATGCAGCACTGCTTTGAATTCTCATCTCAGAAAAGGTTCACATCTAATGCCATGGCAATTAAAATGCAGATGTCGTGGTGAGAGCTCTCCTGAGGATCAGGGATCGTCTGTCCCAGGGCTCAGACATCTCTGCACCCCCATGCTTTGCTCAGCACCAGGCACGGAGGGAGGGCTGGGGGCTTTCCTTGGCTTGTCCCTTGTCCTGCACTTCCTGACCCGTGTTCATCACCTCAGTCCATGGCAAATAAAGTCAGTGTAGGATCCTGCTCTGTTCCCACTGAGACACTTCTGTGGCGGTGTCAGAGAGCCTAAATGAGGGAGTACACAAGGAACAGTCTTCCTAAAGCTTAGTCTGTTCTGTTCCACCCCAAGCACATGGTGATTACGGGAATGAGAACATATTGTGGAGGAGGAAGCTATTTCTGGATGCCAGTCAAGACTCACCAGACCCAGGCTGACTCCTGACAGCACTATCTCACAGAAGCAGATGGAACATTTTCAGGGTGGGGGGGAAAGCAGCATTTAGAGGCTCCATTCACAGGAGCAATTTTCACTGAAGAACTCCCTGAGGAAAGAGAGATGGGAGGGAGGCTGGAGGGCAGGAAGGAAAGCCTTCTGATATTTCTTATGTTGGGCAAAGCTGGAGTGAGGTAAGGCTCATCTAGTTTGTTCTGTTTATTTTCAGCCAGCAGGTTTAGGCAGTGAGAGCTGATCTCTGGAAGAGGGCTGGGGCGATGCCAGTGTCCTGTTTAGATGGCTGGGTTGATAGATGACCCTTGCCTGAAATGTGTTTCCAGTCTGAACACTCTCAACCGTGACTAAATAAAGTAGATCTTGTAAAGACTTGGTGTTGGTTGGTTGGATTTTGTCTTGTTTCCTTCCCCCAGGCAGTGCTGGCACTCCAGTGATGTTCAACAAGAACGGGGATGCCCCGGGGCGCTACGACATCTTCCAGTACCACACCACCAACACCAGCACCCCAGGCTACCGCCTCATCGGCCAGTGGACAGATGACCTGCAGCTCAACGTGAGTCTGGCTTAGTCCTGCCTTGCTCCTCTCTGTCAGCCATAGTCACCAAATGCTTTTTTTCATCCTGGAAAACTTGGGAGGGATCTTTACTATTTCTTCACAGCAGCACAATGGGGTTTTGTTGCACATTATCTTGTTCTTGTCTGTCCTGCAACCTTTTCCCCATTCCCTGAATACCAAAGCTCCTCAGACTAATAGAGACATTAGGGGATCATGCAAATTTTATTACTTTTGTGTGTCTGAGATCCCCAGTTGCCAGCTTGGAAAATGAAGCCGTAATTTGTTGTAGTTCGAAACCACAGGGCTTTCATTTGCAGATGCTCTTCAGTTTTTCCTGGTTTTGGAAAGCTGAAACTAAATGTTGTTGGAGTGACTCACTTTTCCGGTGGTACTTTCAATCCATATGGATGAGATGGCCTTTCTGTGATGATGCCTAAAGGAAAACAAGCACGTAGGAGCAGGGGATCAAAGGTACTTTGATGTTTTCCAGATGAAAAAACCAGGAGTGGTGGGTGGGAAAGCTGGAGTCTGTGTCAGCCTCATCCGTGCAGAGCTGGTCTGTGACCTGTCTCGAGATCTGAGTTCATGATTCCTGATTGACTTTGTGAAAGTTGCTTGAGCCTCGAGCTCATGGAGAAGTGGTGCCAGTTTGACCTGAGAGCTGGTTGGCCCCTTGAGGAGTGTTATGAGCACCCTCAGCCAGAGGTTTCAGTTCAGTTTGACTCTTCAGCAACAGAGCCTGAATAAGAGCAAGGTTATTCCTGAAGTGAAGTGTTTATTTGTTGAAAGAGGTTTTCCTCTCTCAGTCAATGTTCCATGCAAGGACATCATGAATCCTTGGTGTGTTATGGCCCCTTCCCTGCCTCTGCTGCCAGGTTTCCTTTGCAAACAGGGTGCAGGGTGACAGGGAGGGCTGTGTGACCATGGCCCAGCCCCAGCACGTCCCCAGGGGTGACCAGGGCATACCTGGCACACAGGGAGGGGTCACAGCCCCTGTGGCTGAGTGTGGACCCAGCGTCACCCTCACTGCACTTGTAATGTTGTGGTTTTTTGTTAAATTAAGTTAATAGCATGTGGGTCACCAAAAGTCCAATCTTGGAGACTGACCACAGTATTTTGCTCTCTTTGGATTCTGGCTCATTTTGATTGGCTTTATTTGATTTGCTCTTTCACTGGTTTTCAACTTTTGATGTTCTATTTAAAGAAACCTATATTAACTTTCAATTTACAGTTCTTTTAGCAAAAAATATTAATATTTTATTAAGTAAATCCTTCTTTATGTAAACGACACATCCTGCTTCATTAAAATTTAAAGCTAAATTAATGGAACTTGATTTGTATTCCTGTTGTTATGTTAAATGTTTCCATAAAAAGAGATCTTTCCTCACCCTCGAATCCTTGTGGCCACAGGGTCATATCAGTAATTAAGATTCTCTCAGTACCTTCCCTTCTACTCATTAAAGTGTCCTGCTTCCTCACAAGATATAGATGTAGGTGTAGGTATATGGTAGTCCCTGTATGTGTTTTCTTACAATAATTAAGAAAATTGTGGAGTTCAGGGAAGTCAAGGATTCCTGGAAATAACCAAAGTAAAGACTATTAAGTACATCCCAGGGAAAACTACCAGAAGCTACAATTTGTCTTCAGTAATTATTGTGGAGATAACCCTTCAGGGGATATTTCCCCAGGTCTTATTCCTTTATTACTAACACAGAAAGGGAAAAAAAAGGATGTTTGGTGCAAGTGCTAATTTTGATTTGGAAACTGCTGCAGTGATGTTTTGTTTTCCACGAGGCTTGTCACTTTGGGCAGTCTCGGTTCAGTGTGTCTGAATTTCCTCAGTTACAAGAGAGAAAAGTTGTTCACACAGGCCTTGAAGGTAAGGACACTCCATATCTCAAAAGGAGTAGGTAAACAACAGCTGAAGACCATCATAGGTGAGTAAATACCTTCTTCTTTACCACTGTCCTCATTCCAAGAAGGAACCAGCATGTTTTGCTATTTCTCTGGCAGTGGTGCTGCTCTTCAGCCTGTTGTGGAGCTCTTCTGTGATGGTCCATGTCACCTTCCCATTCCTGGTATTTTCTTGGAGTGTGGTGGTCACAGACTGGATTCATCTTGACAGTTGTACTGGATTTTTTCATGTAAAATTACAGAAGAACTTCTATTTAATTTTTATTTCTGTTGTTTATGTTGGTAGACAAACAGAAGAGATCTTTAACAACTTATTAAAATCTGCTCTATCTGATTTTTTTCTTCTTGTCATGAGTTGATAAACCTGGTTTTGTGAGTTATCTGAGGCTCTATTCTTCTCAGTCCTGGTGGTTCTCCCACCCTGGCATCACCTTTGCTGTTTCATGTCCAGCCAAGGCAGGCACTGGCTCCCTGCACCCTCCAGAGCCAGGCTCTGCTTCCCTTCAGATGTTTGTATGTGAAGTGTCTCTTCTGGGTGCTGTTGACTCACCCTGGATTTGCATTCCTGTATCTGAGGTCAGAAGCTGGTTGATAACAAAGAAAATATTCTATGACTTTTCACTGCAGCAAACTTTGGGAGCTGCCGTAGCTTTTCCGTGAGGGCAGCACAGTCCCCCTTTCCTTTGCCTGGTTGGTGTCACACAACTGAGCACAGCTTTGCCCAGCACCCAGTGCATGATTTAGTGTCAGTTCTGGCTGTGTTTCAGGTATCCACGCAAGGATAAAATGAGCAGATGTCTAATTTGGAATGGCTTGGCCAGTATTCCATGCAGAGCCCCTGCAGTGCTTTGTTCTCCCAGCAGCAAGGTTGTGATCGCACGAGGCCCGCCCCTCTCCCACGAGAGGTCAGGGAAGACCACCCTCTGCCTCTGTCCTTGGTGAGGATGATGCCAAGCTCTGTCAGCCCCTTTTGGCCCCTGGCACGCAGATTTAAGGCACAGTGTTTATAGTTCACGTCCTCCTGCAATTTGAAATGCTCTGCTCTGGATTTTGGGATCAGTAATTTGGCCAGCTGCATCCCTCCTGAAATGCTGAGCCGTGACCCCCAGCGCCTGTGGGAAAGCAAAGATACAGCTAATGCCATTAGCTGATAAATCCTCTGGCCACGGTAATAGTGGAGTTTTAAAGCAGGATTGTGGCTCCCTGACGGTGCTGAGGGTGCATGTGGGTATTACAGGGCAGTTGTGTCGTTGCAGGAACTGCTTTGACTGGTTTTAGCTTTAATGTTTGGAAAGCCAGAAGTGCCAGTGGTGTAAAGGAGGAAATCTGCCACGGGGAGAAGGGAGGGTGTGATGTACCAGCTGTTCACTGGTTGGTTTGCTTTTCAAGTGGGTAATTTGATTTGTTGTTTGGTTGGTTTTGCTTTGGCAATGAGTGGATCACCAAAGCCCCTGTGGTTTGTGCAGTAGGACACGGTGAGGGTGGCTGAAGGCAGCGTGGCCAGGACATGCAGGGTGATGTTTTTGTGCCTGATGTTTCCCTTGGAATTTGAGAGCAGTACTCACCCTCCATGCTCTGCTTTCCCAGCGTGCCCCACAGACCCCTCTCCAGCTGTCTCCTCGCTGTACCTGCCCTGTTTGTGAGTCTCTGGAAGCCTTTGAGGCTGATGGATGAGAGGCATTGCAGGAGTGCAAGGGGCTGGCAGAGCAGCTCCCATACATGGCTGGCTCCTAAAAATGCAACTCCTCATGCTTTGAGGTGCCTGACACAAAGAGAAACACACCTCTCCTGGAGGAACTGCTGTGCCTGAAGGAGAAAGAAATGGATCACTCCTAGAGGAACCGCAGGTTCTCCTGGGAAATTTGGTGATATTGCTTCTTTCTCTAGACAGAGTTAACTCAGCAGGTCCCAGGTTTATTATGTTTTCCCATCCCATTCCCCCTGCAAGTATCCCAGAACTGTCAAATCAACAAATAAAGCAACAATCCCTGTGAAATTGCTGAACCTTATTTTTCCAAGCGTTTTCCTTGTGCCAAGGCTGGAGAGATCTGCCCAGGCTCCTGCACGGGGACATGAGCTGCTTCCTGTGCTCAGGCAGCAGTGAGCTGGGGGGTGGTGAGATCCTGCATGATGAACTAGAGGTGCTGACTGGACACCAGGAGGAAGCTCTCCCTGGGGAAGTGCTCCTGCCTCTGTCGTGTGTCCCCAGCTGAGGTGTGGGGTCATCTCAGACCATCCCTTTCCATCCCCCTTGGGCTGCCTGTCCATGGGGGCAGAGGTGGTGCCCTCTTTCACCTTCACCCTCATCTGAGAGTGGTGCAGTGGTTCCATGAGACCTGTTCACTCACCCTTAGAGAGGGAGATCTTCCCAGAACAGGCCAACGTGGGGTTGTTTTGCAGTCTGATTGTCTAATGAGTGCTGTAATAAGGCCATTAGTGTCTGCATAGGGTGCATCATGTTGTCTTAATTGCATTGGCATCTCCAACTTGTCAAGTGCACTCTTCCAGCTCGGTGTTATGGCTCATAACAGTGTCACTGGGCACTGGGGCTCTGCAGCACATTTTCAGGATGGCTGAGGAAGGTGAATTCTTGACTAGGGATGGAGAACACCATGTCCTGTCCATTATTACACTGCAGAGATTTCAAGCAGCTCTTACTCGAGACGTGCTTCACTTCCAAAGCATCGGGCAGGGCTGACTGTGAGCTCCAGATAAAATGAAACCTCTTCCCTCCTTAATTTGTTTGCAAACAGAAACAAATACATGTTAAAGATGCCTAAACATGTGGCTTGCAGAGACAAACAAGAAAATCTGCATTGTTTTATGGATGTGCCCTGGGACTGGGAACAGTCTGGTGGTGTGGAGCAGTGCAGGGTTTGAAACATGAGTGCTGGCTGCAGGAGCCCTGCACGCCGTGTCGGGCCGGCTGCCTGCAATCCCTCAGCCCCTTATTGATGGCCTCCAGCAGTGCGTGATCTATGGCTGCAATCCTGCCAAACAAGTGCTGGGAAGATGGATGGTATTGATAATTATCAATATGGTTCCATAAACACGTCGGTTACACAGATCCAACCGCCCTTATA